CTCAGAGGCAGAACCGGAAGCTGTCACGTGATCGACCCCCCCTTTCACACGGGGTCGGGGACCTGGCCAGGTAATCGCGGGCGGGGCTGGAGGAGGGGCACGCTGATTCTGGGCGGCACCTCCACCCTGTTTCTGACGCCCTGAGACAGGACACTTACGTGTCCACACACTGAAACTATCGACTCGGTTCTTCCCTTCAACACAGAGGCCAATGTAATAAATGAACGCACTCCAACCCAAAACAAACAAATCAACCAGCTACTGTTCCTACTTTTCGAGACAAGTCATTGTAGAAAACGGCACCACGTGGCAGCAGGCTGAGCCCAGGGTCCTTCCCCGCCCCCTCGCCCAGGCTCCCGTCAGCATCTGGAAGAAGTGCCCGCCTCGGCTGCAGCCCCAGCACCCAGGCCGCCTGGGCTCTTCTCCTGGGGGCGGCGGCACCCGGCCCACTCCAGCTTCCCAGCACGAGCGGACGACTGGTCCCCGGACGTCCTGGTCTGCTCCTTGCAGCCACCAGTGTGGCCATCTGTTTCCCCAGACGCCGCCTGGTCACTCTGGCCCTCAGAGATGGGAGCTGAGTGACTTCCATGCTGAGACGACCCTCAGAACCCAAACACCCCCTCGAGGACAGGCCGCGCCTCATCGGGCAGACGGGTTCGGCCAGCGCAGGCCCAGCAGCGCCTTCTGCTACGTACACGGGGGACAGAAGCAGCCACAGCCTCCGAGCCCCCAGCTGCGGTGCCCTGGGCAGATGCCACGGTGGCCCTGGCAAGACACTCGGGCTGTGGGCTCTTCAGCAGAGGAGTGACAGGCTGGCCTAGATGTTGCCCAAGGTCCCGTACAGTTGTCCCTCACCAGGAAACCCGAAGTGATCTGCAGGGAGGCGCATGGCCCGTGGGGACACCGGGCCATTGGAAGCCCAGCCACTGGCCTGGGCGGATCTTAATGCCCGCCTGCTGGAGAGTCGGCCTTTCCTCCATTCCTTCAAGAGCAGTTTATGGCTGCGTGCGAACCAATGGAAGCCCACAGGCAGCTTGAGCGCAGCACCCCCCCCCCAACCCAGGCGGAGGAGGACAGGGGTCTGTGCAGGATGGAGACAGAGGGGACTAGCGGGGGGTGCTGGGAAAATGTCCACCTGCAGGCCTGAGACCTAACTTCAGACTCAGTGACACTCCAGTGCTGGGCCACCACAGCCTCTTCCTCCCAAAGGTGGAATCTGGTGTCCGCACCCCGCTTTCTGAGGGCAGGAGCAGAGCTGACGACGCCTCTCTCCGTCTCGCCCCCAACACCCCCCAAGGCCCACGGCTGCTGGGAGCTGCCCATGAGACCCAGGCCGGGGGGGCGGGCAGGACCTGCAGAGACCCAGGGCTCTCAGCACCACTGGTGGCCAGGAAGGTGTCAGTCTCAAAATATTATTTTCAATAAAAGTTCTGTTTACCTAGAGGAGATTTAAACACACCAGAAACTTTGAGGGAAATGAGCGGCCCCGTTCTTTTTAATAAAAGCAGTGCTCGGTTTTACGATAGCTCTTCTGACAGAGCTCTGCACCGGACGAGAAAGGAGCACAAGGCTGCGTGTTTTCCCAGATGACTTTTAGAAAAGAAAAACCACTGTTTTGGGAAGAAAAACTGCTGTTTTGGGAAGGTCCCTTTAAAGCACCAGTGGCAATCCAGAAAAAGGGTGAACGGCTTCTTTCCCCACCATTTTAGAAGCACGTGTTTTCAGTGAAGAACCTTCCACGTGCGGAGCACGCAGCCCCGCCCCTGACACGCCACACATGGGACACTTCTGCCCCAGAAGGGGACGCCGTGAAGGGTCAGCGCTCGCAGAGGCCCGCACTCCCACTGCCCCGGGCCCAGGCTCAGAGGGGTTTTTCCTCCCACCCGGGGGCTTCCCGCACTGCGTGGGCCCGGTCTTCGTGCACCCACACGGCCAGGGGAGCTCTCTGGTGGGAACGTCTGTCCCCGGCTCGGGGGAGCCCTTGAGGACTCCGGGGACCTGCCCCATCCTCGGCTGGCGCGGGCGGCTCCCCGACAGCCGCTCCTTGAGAAGGAGCCGTCACCTCCCACGCTGTGCTGTCCGCCTGCCGTTTTCCACTGGAAGACGCCCGCGGAGGGAGCCCTGTGCACCGCCCCAGAAGCGAGGGCCCCACCAGCACCCCCGGAAGGTGGCCGCGGGGCACGGCACTTCCTGAAGGCTTCCCCCGCCGGCCAGGGAGGGCGGAGAGGCCAGCTTTCCAGAAGGCGGCCCAGGAAGAGCAGCTCCAAAAGTGACAGGGGTTCCACCAGGGACAGTCGCAGCGAGAAGACCATCATCGCCCCCTTTTCTTCTGGGGAAGACTCCAGAAGACAAGGAGGTGACCGCCAAGACGCGCCACGGGGCCTGCACTGTTTCCTCCTGGGAGCCTCTCGGTGTGAACAGGCGGGGCGCCCGCCTTCCAGACCAGCTCATCAGAAACAAAGTGGCCGGGGCGTGCTGTCCTGGCCACTTCCCTCATGAGTGGCCCCTGCAGACACCGGACCTCGAGGGCCTCAGGCAGGGCAATGACAGCCGACCCGGAAGGGACCTGGGTGGAGCCCAGGTGCAGTCAGGACACTCGGCCCTCGAAGCCCTGGGGCTCAGTGCTCGCAGGTGCCGGTGAGCAGGCCCGCTCTCGGCGGGTGACACCTGGGACAAGCCCAGAGGGCTGCTGCGGCTGTGGCCCATGATGACCCCCTGAAGGGAAAAGGGACAGGCTTCCGGTGGCTGTGTACAGGGGCAGGAGAGCCGCTTCTTTGGGACGGCTGCCATCCTCTCAAAACAGATGCGGGGAGGGGAAGCCCCCAGAGCCCACGGGGGAAGCTGCGGTTCAGAGCGGGCACTCACGGGTTTTACCTGACACCCCTCAGGGCCCCGACCCCGTGCTTGAACTCAGCCGGCCCCTGCTCCCACTCCACAGTGCTCACCCTCCGAGGGCTGCGAACTCCCAAAACACCTCTCCTCTCACGGCTGGCTCCTGCTGGAGCCCACACATCCATGGCTGTCACTCAGCTGTCCCCTTCCTGCCTCCAACAGCCCGATTGCGACGGAAGTCGGCTGCTGGACTCACGGACCCAGGCCCAGGGCAAGCCCTTCGACCCCTCGCCACGCCTTAACGGGGATGACAAGTAAGACTCTGATGTTGCGCTTTCCCTAGATGGTTCCGGAGCAGAGACTTCAAATCTCAGTGACGCTGTTGAAATGCTGCCCAAATGCAGCCTGGGACACCCCCACCGGCCGGTGAAACGGTGGCCCAGGGGAACAGGTTCCCGGAGAAAAGGGCACAGAGGTCAAAAGGACAGAAGCTGGCGTGGCCACGCATGTGGGCCGGAGGGCGGTGGGCCTGGGGTTCAGGGGCCACACGGTGCAGACTGAGGGCAGGCGGGGGCGCGGTGGTGGGCTCCTCGGTGCCTCGAGCCTGTGTTAGAGCGCAGACGACCTCTCCAGCCAGAGAGCTGGGCGAGTGCCCACAGGACCAGGTGCGTGCCGCACGTTGGCCTCAGAACGTGCCGGTCTGTCACAAAGAACTAACATGAGCTCCTGGAAAAGGTTTTGGTGATGTGTGGACACTCGGGGACCGCCTGCACGGGCCGGCCCTGGCCAATAAGGTCGGAGAAAACCTTAGCCGACGCTTCTGGGGAGTGAGGTGCTGGCCCTCCTCCCTGTGTCTGCTGCCAGGAATGTGCCGTGGCAGGTGGTCCCCAGAGGCTGGCCTGGACCAGCCTCCAGGACAAGGACCACAGCCCGCAGCTGCAGAGAGCACTGCTGGGAGGCGGCCAAGTCCCTGTGGCCAAGTGGCCAGCAAGCGCCGCTGCGCTGGTTCCGCACGTGCGCACGGGGCACCAGAGCCGCACCTGTTGAGCCATTACCCGGAGCGCCCACGTCGGCTGAATGCAAGCCGGACTCAACTCACGAAGCACAAAGAAACTCAGCTGTGTCTGTCTTTCCTCAGACCCATGAAGAGCATTAACTCAACAACCATTATAATGCCGTGTTTCCTTTTTCTTCCCCAAATGCACTTAAAGAGTAATTTTTAAACCAAAACAAAAAAGAAAAGACAACACAATCTCCGTGACTCATGGTGGAACAGAACACACTAAACAACACCATGACATTTCCCTTGCAAATGACTGGGTGCCTGCGGCCGCCTGCTCGGCACGGCCAGCTGGTTCTCGGAGCCGAGGGCAGTGGGGCCATCGCTCAGAGGTCTGTCCGGTCCTGGGTCTCAGAGAGCCCATCGACCGCAGCTCTGCGGGGGCGACCTCACCGTGTGGGCAGAACCGGCATTTATCACGGCACTCCTGCTCATTACGGCGGCCCTGACAGGGGCCGTTACAATCCATTTTTATGTTTCTCATGTACTTTCTTTAACCAACATGCGTGGTGTCGTGTTTATTAGCCGGTGAAGACAAACACGGAGCGGGGTAGCGGGTGGTGGTGTCCTTCCGTCAGAAATAACGAGAACTGCAATTTCAACCCAACTCCTCACAATCGACGAACGGAGGAAACCAAATGTTTCATCCAGAACGAAACGCCGAGGCGTGTTCTGGGTTTCCGTGTCTGCCGTTGGACGGACAGGGTGGAAGACACGCAGCGCAGTGAGGGGGACTCGCCCCTCACCCCAGGGGCGCACGCAGCCAGGGTGGCCTGAGCCCAGCCTGGGCGTGAGGATGGAGCTCAGCTGGCCCACGGCCCAGGGCAGGCTGGGCCCGATTCGGAAAGTCGGGAGTAGGCAGGCACCGCATCTCCCGAGTTCCAGAGAAACCCCATCACGTGTACCAGGTATCCGCGTTCATGACCACGAGGCAACTCCTCCCGGGAGCCCGCAGACCAAGGGCGGGTCCCTGCACCGAATCACAGGAGGAGGGCGCTCGGACGAGGAGCTCAGGTGCTGGCAATGAAGGCCACGCACTCGGGGACGTGCTGCCCGTGGCCAGTGCACAGCACGCAGGCCCCGCCCCGCCAGCTCGGGCGTCACTCACCTGGCGTCGGGCGTCTTCCCGCCGAGCAGCCGGATGCTGTGCAGACCCTGCTCACACGCAGACACCTCGATGGGCCCCAGGGGGCTGGCCACCGTCCTGCACCGCAGGTCACAGGCCGCGTCCATCCTGCCACGCACCTGGAGGAAGGGTTTAGGAAGTGAGAAAGTGCGTGGGGGGAGCTGGGTCAGTTCTAAATACAACAGGAACCCTGGTTACTTAAGATGGAAAACATTTTCCAAAGTTTCCCCCCCCATTCTGGGGACTCGCTTATATAATGTCACTTGTGCAATATGGTTACTTGGAGGACAAAGTCACCGTCACTGCCTAGAGCAACAATCAGGAGCGGCCAGCACCCCCTCCCGGAGGGACACGCTCCCTCCCCAGCTGGGTGTGACCCCGGAGGCTGAAACTCGGCCCCTAGTGAAAAGCCCCTGATACCAAGCCCTCCTCCCTTCAGCAAAGCAACAGAGCGGTCACCACACAGGGTCCCATGAACAAAACCTGGAGACAGGACATGGGACCTGGAGAACTGGAGTCAGGCGATGAAGTCTCACCGCGGCCAGAGCGCGATACCTGTGTCGGGAGGCGGCCAGGAAGCACACGGCGCCCAAGTGACTCGCACGCTCTGGAGGCTCCAAAATCCACGCACATTCACGCAAACGCACACGTGCATCAGGACCCCCCACGGGGCGCCCTCCACACGGGCTCTGAGAGATGTTAACCTCGGCTGGCACAGCGACGGCTCAGAAAAGGCACCGGTTCACTGAAAGCAGGGAGACGCCAGGGAGGGGTTCAGGCAAGTTCCCATTTCACCAAAATCACTCTCACTCTGGGGAGGCAAGGAGTTGGCAGCTCGAGAGACGGTTGTGGAGCGATGGATCTGCCTGGTGAGCCCTCCTCCTGCCCTGCCGCCGTCTGGACGGCCCCCCTTCTTATCTAAGCCCACACGTCCCAGAGTTCCACCCCCGACCGGCCCAGTCACGCAGGATCAGCTGACGCAGCTGGCCCGCCCACATCGGGACCCTGCTCGCCTGACCAGGACCCGCCGGCTCCTCCCGGTCTCCATTTCTACTTCTCGCTCCTGGAGACACTTCCCATGGCTTTGTCCCAAACTGTCACCCTATACATTCCCCCCGAGACGGGGCGAGTCAGTGAAGGCCCTCACCCCGTCACCCCAACCCACCTGAAGCGGCGGACCCCAGCATGGCTCCCCACCAGCCTCACCTGCCCTGCGCACCTGCCTCCCAGGCGGCCCCGGGTCCCACTGCTGCTGCTCCCTCCAGCAGGCAAACTGTCTCCCACAGGAGCCTCAGCTCTCGCCCACGAGAAAGGACTCTCGGACCCTCCTCACTCCGGGCTCTCCCACCCCTCCCCCATCCAGGAAGGTGCTGACTGCTGATTGCTTCAGGGGCCACAGCCGGCAGTGAGCTGCAGTCCACGTGCCGACCTCATGACCCGAGCCCCACGAGCCGAGCCCCCCGTGCCGACCCCACGTGCCCCGTGGTTCAGTGAGGCTCTGTGTGGACCGGCCCGAACACAGGTGAAGACTGGGTACCTGGGACGGCCATAGCCTTTGAGCTTGTCACCCAGGTGCTCCCCTCTCCTCTGTAGAATCTTATCCAACAGTGTCAAAATATGATCAGCTGATTTCTCAAAAGAAACCTTGGAGGCAAGAAGGGGCTGGAAAGAAGTATTCCAAGTCATGAAAAGCAAGGACCTACATCCCAGATTGCTCTATCCAGCAAAGCTTTCATTTAGAATGGAAGGGCAGATAAAGTGTGACCCAGATAAGATCAAGTTAAGGGAGTTCATCATCACCAAGCCCTTACTATATGAAATGTTAAAGGGAATTATTTAAGAAAAAAATTAAAAATGCAAACAGTAAAATGACAAACTCACAACCATCAACAACTGAACCTAAAAAAACACAAAAACAAAAACTAAGCAAACAAGTAGAACAGGAACAGAATCACAGAAATGGAGATCACATGGAGGGTTATCAGGGGGCGGGGGAGGGGGAGGGGGAGGGGAGGATGGGGAAAAGGTACAGGGAATAAGAAACATAATTGGTAGGCACCAAATAGGTAGGAGTAGGTTAAGAACAGTATAGGAAATGGAGAAGCAAGAACTTGCACGTACGACCCACAGACGGAAACCAAGGTGGGGGAACGATGGTGGTAGGGTACAGGGCGGAGGGAGATAAAGAAAAGAAAAAAAAGGGACAACTGTAACAGCATAATCAATAAAATATATTTTCAAAAATTTAAGAAATGACCATTCTTCAAAAGCAGATGGCTACCCCTTCTCCCAGCTCCCTGGAGGCCTTGCCTCATTTGTTGGAACCAGAGTCAACGGCTGCCCCCCGACCCGCCATGGCACATCTGGGGACGTTTCCCATTGTCCTGAGCCATAGCGAGTTGGCGTCCCTCTGAAGTCAGAGGCGTCACACGCACACACACGGGCTCAACTGTGTGTCCCCACCCAGGGAAAGGGCCCAGCTCTCCGTTCTCCAGAGCGTGCTCCCAGGGGGGTGCTCAAAGGAGGGTTCTGGAGCTCAGGGGGCAGCCCGGACAGGCCGCCCCACCTCCAACCCTGGGAACACGCAGCTGCGTGCCAGCGCGTGAAAGCTCGGAGCAGTCTCGCAGCAAAACCAGCTTTGCCGTGAGACTTATGTTTGTTTGCACAGCTCTGCAGAAGCGTCCCCCACAACTGGGGCCTCCTGCCGGCTCCCTGCTTGGAAGCATTGGCCCCCAAGGGCCCCAGGCTGTTGCTCAGCAGATCCGGGCTCAGGAACCCTGGCTCAGGCCCCACGCCAGGAGCCTGACAAGCGACAAGCCCACTGCAGGTGGGGCTCCAAACAGCAGGTCTCCGAAGCTGGGACCAGCTAATTTAGGCACAAAAACAATTTACTGAAAGGCTGTCCCATAACTCTCAGAACTTCTGGGAAGGCTGGAGAAGCCGGCTCAGAAAACTGCAGGAACTGAGGCTGGCCACAGTCCAAGAGCGGCCAAAATGAAGCCTCAGGAAACACCTGTGGGGATGGCCGGGGGCTGTGGGCATGCAGCTGCCGCTGTTGCCACCGTCGCCCCTGGAAACAGGATGCTGCTGCCACGGCCAATCCCCTGACGCCTGGCCGCCCCGCCACTTGCCTCTGGTTCGAGGCCCAGACGGGAGCCCAGAGCTGCCTTGGGGGCCAGGCCAACGCCCACCTGAGCCAAGTGGCAAGGGAAGGAACGGCTTCCTGGGGAGGCAGCTGTGCCCATGTGGGCCCCGAAGGAGGCCGGGGACCCTGTCCTGCTACAGACGGGGAGGCCAGCACAAACCGCACCGGGAGGAAGAGGGAACATTCCAGGCCACGCCCCTTCCCAGGTCTCAGCTTTCTCATTAGTCAGTAGGGGTGACACCACAGACTCTTCTGGTCCCTGGTCTGCTCTGTGGGCCGGACTGGAGAACCCAGGGAAAGCTGAGAAGAGGCCGGACCAGCCCTCCTGCAGGACCAAGGCCTGCGTCCCCCACTGTGCACACCCAACCCTCACCGAAGCCACAGATGTCAGGGAGGCACCTCCAGGTGTTCAGAGGAGGCACCAGCAGCAGGTCAGGGGCTGGGTGATGAAGGTGACTGAGGACATGGGGCACCAGGGGCCACCTCGGGCTTTGCTCATACGTCCCCGTGGCTGGGCTCTGGCCCCACGCAGAACTGGCTGATGGCGGAGGCTGTCACCCTGGCATGCGGTGAAGGGCCACCAGCCAGTGCTGGCGTGGCTGGAGCCGGAACGGTGTCTCTCACCAGTGCACAGCTCCCCAGCACCTGCATGTCTGAGCTGGGCCTGCCCACCGCCGACCCTGTCCTGCCCGGCAACTTGGCGCTGCCCCCGGTCTGCCCGGCCCGAGCTCCGGCCACAGTGCATGAAGCCCGGCTCCGGGGACTGCGCAGCCACAGGAACCAAGGCCACCGAGCCCATCACAGAGCGAGGGTGGCTCCGCCCGCATCAGGCCGAGAAGCAGAAATGGCTGACGAGCCCCAGGTCAGAGTTCCGAGCAAGCGCTCGCCACTGGTCATCGGGTCACGAGATGTCAGAGAGAGTGGCTCCTAGACTTCCTGCTGGTTCAGGAGAATGAAAATCAACCCTCTTCAGCTTCCCCGACGGGAAGGTTCACTGGGGCCCCCTCCCCCTCGACTGTGGCCTGGGACCCAGGGCCCGGCTCCTGCAGGACGGGCCTGGACCGGCAGGACTGTCACCCGAGCTTCTGGGTTCCTGGGCCATCGGCCTCACTGGTGAAAGACAACGCACCGTAACCCACCGATGGCTGCGCTGCCAAAAAAGAAAGGAAGAAAGAAAAGCAGCAATTTAAACGTAGTTTTCCACCGCCCCTGCCAGAGGCAGCCCTCGAGGCTCCACGGACACCTGTGCACAGTGCTCTCCTGCAGGCAGTGGGGGGCCTGGCAGGGTGTCCCCGCACAGGTGACAGCGCAATCAGCCATCTGCTGAATCCTGCCAGGTCACCGACACTGCGTCCCCAGGACGGGAGCGTGGGGCCGTTTGGCGTGGCAGGCAGTGCGTGGTGACAGGAAGCCCAGGCTGAAGTGGCAGGTGTGTTTGACACACGTGCCACGGAGCTGGCAGGCCGGCCGAGGGGAGGGGGTGGTGCCTGCAGACTTGATGGCGAATCGCAGATGGTGGCAGGCCCTGCAGAGACTGGAAGCCGGGCAGCACTTGGACGGAGGCTCCACGGCGGACGGACACACGGCGGGGGGGGGGGGGGGGGGGAGCAAGTCTCAACACAGGCTGGTGGGAGGAGCTGCCGGGAGGGCAACAAGGCCAGATGCGGGGCTGCCACAGGCGGGGCGGCACGAAGAGGCGCCACGAAGAGGCGCCAGCATCCTGACGGTGTGTGACGACAAAGGCCTGTGCCCCGACAGCCCACACGGCACCGCTCCCCGCTCCGGGGCCCAGCAAGGCCTGGGCTCCGATGACAAAGCCCCCCGAGGCCGCTCGCCCACCCCCACCCAGAGAAGGCCGTGAGCCTGAGCCCAGGAAGTCAGCCACGGAAGGAAAAGGCCCCAGACACACACTCGGCCCTGGCACCAAGTCCGGGCCAGGCAGGCTCCCCGTGAAGGCCCCAGTGGGTCGAAGGG